AATGAAATTGCCAATTGCCATACCAAATATTATCTTATAAACATAAATTTTCTTCAAAATATTATGTTTTATATATCTTAACAACTTCAATTTTCCTTAAAGCAATGAAAATAGTTCTTATTCCCACAGTCTTCATTCATTCGTCCCACATATGTCTTAATTTTTGTATATTATTTTTTCCTCAAACTGCAAAGATTCTGTAAATCCCTTGGGAAATTAGCCATAACCCTAGAAAAGTGATAAAATTTGTTCGTGAATATGTTGGGTTGAATTTTCGCGTAATTTTATAAAGAAAAGTTTTTAAACTTTCCTTGCAAATTGCTTTAATTTATGCATCAAAGTTTTCCGCAATTTTGAAAAGTCAACATGTTTAGGTGAGCTGCTCTTCGGGCAAACTCTCCTCTAGCTATACTTGCATTAGTTTGCTGGCAGAATATTACGTATACGCATGGTAGGTGGCACGCATTGTCTGGCTGGCCTGGCCGCTTGGCTGCCTGTCTGGCTGCCTGCTGTTGAGTGCTGTCCTCGTTTGTCACGCGACAAATTATTCCACAAAAATAATTTCATTTTTGATATGCCATTTAAACGATGATGATTTCGCCACCCTCTCGTGCCAGCCAAATTGTGTAATATTGCATAAAAATTTATTAACGCATATAAAAAAAAAATTGTCCCGGCAGCTGATATAATAATAAAGGGAACACTTAAAAAATGGCAGCCCCCACTCTGCTTCCTTTGGCAACAGTAAATTGTAGGCTTGCCAAAAAAAAAAAAAAAAAAAAAAAAAAAAAAAAAAAAAAGCAGAAGAAAAGTAAATGACAACAACAACGCCGAGAGCAACAACAATTTCGCCCCATAAAATTGACTTTTGTTTGTATTTCCGCATGAATTGCATAAATGGTAATTTGCAGTTTAATGTTTGTGCCCTGACGAAGAGGGAGTGAGAGAGACAGAGTGAGAGAGGGAATAATAAAACGAAAGTAATGCAAAATGAAAATAAAAACAACAAAAATTGGCAAGCGCGAAATTTGCATAATAAACAAATCAAATGTTGGACGAGACCCGCAAAAACTTAGACGGGCCAAAACTTGCGGCGGGCCCATTTAAATGACATAAACACATAAATAGAACATTTAGCGCCCGTAAATCATTGGCAAATTTATATCGCGGCTTGGAGGTACATTTTACATTTTACAGTTATTCGGCGAGTGTGCGTGTGACTGCGTCCAGCTGGTTATAGAGCGCGTAAACGTTTGAAGTGCGCCGGAAACGGAAACGAGCGCAAATTTATGGAAATAATGTGACTGGCATTCATGCCCGCCCGCCACTCCCAAAAACAATCAACTCAAAGCAAGCCAGGCCAAGGTAGGGCCAAAGGGGCGAATTGAAGGGGGCAGCAGATATTTCAGCAAATTCAATGCAACTGCGTTTACATTTTGATTATATTATTGTGAGATGCGTAATTTATGGGCTTCAAATGCTTTTTAACCAACTGCACAAAAGGTGTGCCTAGTCAGTGTGTGTGTGTGTGTGTGTGCCTTGCCTGTTTGTGCGTAATAGTCCTGGCGCTGTCCTGTGAAGCGTTAAATGCTGCGGTCTCCAACAAGCACTCGCCGCAAGAGGCAGCCAAGCAGCGCTTTTGATGAGGGACAAAGTGCACGAAAATGACCTTTTACACTGAAAGTTTAAGTGCTGGAATTGAAGGCAACAGCAGGGCACAAAAGGACGGCGGCTGCTGGGAAGGAAGCGAGCAGATTGCGGCTTTTGCATTGTACCATAAAGCATGGTTCAGATTAATTAATTGACATGCCGAAATTGCATTTGAAACTTCAAGAATTCCATCCGAAAAGTTCAAAGAACTTTAAACTATTCAGCATAACTTTATAGACTGACTAAGTATCATAGGATTAATTATCTAAGGGAGTATTTCCTAAAGATTCTTCGGGATAAGAATACGTCATTACAAATTTTATAAGTAAATAAAGTTCTACTACTACTACTACTACTACTACTACTACTACTTTTAACTATTACTACTACTAAAAAGAACAGAGGTATATACCCAAATATGTATCATATTTTCGTATATACATATGCTTGGAATGTGAAAAGCACATTTAACTGACCTTTGGTCTTTGTTTACTCATTTGCGAGCTATAAATGTTTATAGGGGGCTACAAAATAACAGTTGATAATACTGAGAATCGCCGAGAAAGGCAGTTGCTAGCTGTTTCATTTTATGTGTGTATGCCATTTCCTCAAACAGTTTTATCTTCATATAATACATTTATTGCCCGGCTGCCACCTGCTCTTAGCCAGAGGCATCGTAAATTGCCAACGGAAACCCACACATATATATAAACACATATATATATATGGGTATATATTTCTAGGCTATGTGCGCTCGCTGGCACATTTGGGAAGCTGTAATATATCATATAAGGCGCGTCATCATATAGTTCATTGAACCCCCAACCACAAAGTGACTCAAAAATCTTCAACAGCTTTAAGTGTCTTACAATGTCTACCGTTAATCTTGGGCTCACTTACTTACACACATACTCACACACATACCCACGCAAACTCGTACATATACCACCACCCACCCACACACACACACACACACACATCCACACACAGTCAGATTGAGCGTGGTCTCGGGTGGTTGAGGTGGGTCGTGCTGCAGCATCGTTTATAATGTCTTCATTTATAGCACAATGTGCCGGCGTATTTTTTATATTTTTTATTATTATTTTTGTGCTCAGTTACGCACCGACACCGAGAAACACGGCCACAGGTTCTAGATGGAAGCGGGCAGAGCTGGCAGTCATAAGGAACACCGCCGCACAGTGAGTGCCAAAAGTCGCCCTACGACTTGTCTGCTCATCGAGCGGAAAATAATATCTTGCTATAAATTTAGCTCCGGTTTTTGCGACGTTGTCGCGTGTCCAGAGAGCTTAATTTTTTCTCATCTCTCTCCGTCTTTTCCTCTCTCACTCACACCCTGTTTTTTTTGGGATTCCCAATCCTCAATCCAGCATCCCAGCAGTTACCGTTACGTCCTCGACTGATGAAAGTTTAACGACCAAAGTTGACACGCTGCGGCGATTATTTAGAAAGTTAATGACTTATAACATACAAAAAGCACCAGCTGCGAGAGAGGGAGACGGAGAC